TTGAACTAAATCCGGTGCCTTTCCGAAAGCAAAAATAGTATGGAAGATTTACCATTCGCCTCTGCGAATCCGATCCGTCGTCCATTAACACATAACATATGTAATGTTTTCTGCAATATGGGATGATGCATAAGGTGCAATCAAGTGAAGAGAAATGATGTGAGGGGGAACCCTGGAGTGGGAAAGATACTGACTGCAGTATTGAACTAAATCCGGTGCCTTTCCGAAAGCAAAAATAGTATGGAAGATTTACCATTCAATTCTTATGTATTTACATGTCGAACACCTAAACTTCAATTTTTAAATTTATGATCTATTTCACTATCTAATAGATAAACTAATGATAATTTGATGTGGTACAAGTAATTTGAGTTGTATAAATGTACAAGGTAATGTTTAGATGTTAGATATGTACACACGTAAGAATAGAGTGGTCTATATATAACTGCCTTAAGAAGCTCTCGAATTACATGAGTTTAGGACCTCTATGATCCTTGTGAAAAAGGTTAAAGAGTAGTTATAAATGAACTAATACGCATTATCCTTCTGTGTATTGCTTGTCATATAGATATGAGTGTAGAGTGTTACAACTAACTAATATTTGTTATAAAAGATATGTAACTTTTCATGAGAATAGCACTCAAATATTGACCAAGCTATCCATTTATAGTAGTTACAAATAAATGAATTTACAAAATGAAGAAGAGCATGCAAGAACAAAAAAGTACATGATAAATCTTGTTATTAAGGGGTTTCATTAAAAATAAGGCTTATAATTTATATGAATGTTCCCTTGTGTAGTAAAATAAATGATTGTTTACATAATGCCATGAAAAACAAGAACAAATATCTATACGCTGAGTGAATAGATGTTAAGATATATTTCCTCATTTTTGACTTGGTGGAGAATATTTATACAATGTTAATCTTGAGAAAAAAAGTTGTTTATGCAAGTAAAACAAAAGTATTTATAAATTTTAAAAATATCTTATTACACCAAAAATTTGGTAGGTTAATGCACATCATTGAATTTCGCAGATATAGAGTCAAATATTGTTATAAATGGACGTCATCTCAATTATATGAGCTCACATTCAAAAGTTCAAGAAATTGAAAAAATAATTATATAAAGTGTTTACTATAAAGGATCAATGTAAAACCAAAAAGATTTTGAAATGAGTAAAATGTAAAATAGTCATAAATAACAAAAACCTTTTATAATTAAAGTATAATAAAGGATGTTAAAAAAAATTATGATAACCACAAATATGAAATCATGCCACTTCTAGCCCCTTAAACTATAAAAATTTCATACTAGAAATCGAAGAGAAGAGTAGAACATAGTAGAAGTCCTTAATGCCCAGCCTCTCCTGTCATGCTATTTTTCTTTGTTTATTTTCTTCAAAGTGTACCCCTATAAGATAACCTTAGTCATAGTATTTCTTAATCTTCTTGAATCTCAACATGAAATCATCTTAAAAAAGATTAGTCTCAGCCATCTTGGGCAGAATAAAATGTTATTATTCATACTTATAAGGTCTTTTTCTATATCTAAGCAAGTGAAATCATGCCACTTCTAGCCCCTTAAACTGTAAAAATTAGATACTAGAAATTGAAGAGAGAAGTAGAACATAGTAGAAGTCCTCAATGCCCCGCCTCTCATGACATGCTATTTTTCTTTGTTTATTTTCTTCAAAGTTTACCCCTATAAGATAACCTTAATCTTCTTAAATCTCAACATGAAACCATCTTAAGAAAGATTAGTCTCTGCCATCTTGGGCGGAATAAAATGTTACTCTTCATACTTATAAGGTCTTTTTCTATATCTAAGCAAACCCATGTACTAAAAAAACCAACAAATTTAATAAAACATAAATAAACTCTTATAGTTTTTTTTTTTCTGATTTTTCACATTCACCATCAAATCTTTAACATTCTAAAAATATCTAACCACCAATAGGACACGTGGGAAAAAATATCTAAAATATAAATGCCTCCAACCTTAACCGACAACTCATTTTATAACCGCACATCATTGTTAATATCATTTCAAAAAAAAAAAAAAAAAAAAAAAATTATTGGTCCATGTACACATCTTGAGACTATCGTGTATGAATTGAGATTTGGATATGCTTGTATCCAAATGCATAACTATAGTTTGCAAAACAGAAATTTTTATTTCATGTGATGCTTATTTTATCAATTGACTTTCGTGACTCATGCCATCATCCCATCACTTAATAAAAGATTGATCAATATCATAATATGTATCCAAGATAAGAGTAAGTTTCATGCTACTAAATTATATTAGATTTTATTGGAAAACAATTGAAAAAGTGCATATTGGATGCAAAAAAACCATCATTGAAGTCAAAGATAATGAATGTAGTAATCATGAACATCACTAAATTCCATTTTTAAACTTTAATGAAATGCTTGTAGGCTAAGAACCTTTATAAATCACATTATCTTTTGTGAAGAGGGAGTGAGGTTAGCCCTCAAAGCCTTTTTGAGATGAGTTAAGCTTCTTAGAAATTTTTGAGCTGATAGGTTGTCATGATTCACTAAATTCCATTTTTAAACTTTAATGAAAGGCTTGTAGGCTAAGAACCTTTATAAATCACATTTTCTTTTGTGAAGAGGGAGTGAGGTTAGCCCTCAAAGCCTTTTTGAGATGAGTTAAGCTTCTTAGAAATTTTTGAGCTGATAGGTTGTCATGATTTTATGGGTTTGATGTGTACTTATACGTGTTAGAGTAGATATATACTTTCGAACCTTTGCATTTACATTATTTAGATTTGTTAAGAGTAGCATAAATTCATTAGGTATTTTGAAGTTATGTTGGCCCCTTATAGTATATGGATTTATTAATCTAATATGCTTAGGCTAGGCTTATTTAATATGTATCTAGATTTTTTATACTATGAAACATTAAGTTAGATATTTATTTAATTGAAACTAAGGCTCAAGTCTGTCAGAAGCAATGTATATAAGAATGCCACAATATTAATTATAGATAAAATTCCATGTAAATTTAATGAATATTTAATTTAAAGAAGACCTTATAGTAACTTAAAACATGCTATCTCTATTATAAGAATTTGAGAACATTATGATTTGATCAATAGCTCTTCATTTTGTCTTTGCAAGCTTAGTTTTGCACAACACTTAGAATTAGTACTCCATTATTGTTGCATTCTAAGAAGAACGTAAAGCTCAAGGCACTGACCTAGTTCTAAGAAGAACGAATAACGCTCTCGAGTGTGTATCATATTGATTGTGGATAAAGTTAAGAATCCTATCGTGGTCGGTTCGAGCACTATGAGAATAAAGTTCAAAAGGGAATTAATGTGTTCCAACGCGTTCTACAATGACGAGACATAAAATGAAGAATCCCAATCTGTTGAGCTTACTCGAAAAAAATAAAATAAAGAAGATTAACTATAGAGATAAATTTGGCATAATAAAATATGAATTTTTATTTTGAAATTTTTAGTGAATTTATCAGCACATTGTAGCAAGAAAAATAATCTAATGGTGAGGGTAACCAAGCAACTTGGTCTAACAACAATTATTTGCACTAAGAATAATCAATCAATTCCATACCTACCATCATTAAATTATAAAAATGTAATATGACTAAATGATTAGAGAAGGAAATCTTATTTAATCATGCCTAGAAAAAAGTTAATTATGTTGAATATCATGAAAGTTAGAATAATTTTAATATTCTTAATTCAAAAAATATCAAAAATACTTTTTAAAAATATTTACAGACATACCACTCAATTCCTATGCATTTACATATATAACACCTAAATTTTAATTTTTACATAGATATCACTTATCTATGAAAATGTGTATTTTATTATTTGAAAGTTAAAATAGTAATATTTTGTTATGTGATATGAAAATTTGAGTGTTTCATATGTAAATGCATAAGAATTGTGCGTCATGCATGTAAATGCCCATGTTTATAATAAACAAATAATTAATATAGCTAAATAATAATAACAACAATAGTAGTAGTAATAGTAATTTAAGAACTCTCTTCTCCGGCCACAAAGCTGCTACGTCCACATCAGGAAAAATTTATTCTATACGGACGATGTACGCAGAGATGCATGTGTCGTCCGATCTCCACCGTTTATCGGCGCTTTTATCAATTTTTTTTAAGAAAATAAATGGGTCCACTGAAATAATACTTTGGTCTGATCAACGGTAAATAGCGGGCGGCACATATATCTTTGCATACACCGTTTGAAATAATTTTTCCCACATCAGAGTTGCTATAAGCTGCTGATAGAAGCCAAAAAGAATACACTTAATTTTTTATTTTTATTTTTACTTTTTTCAATGGCTTGCTTATCCGGCCTTCAGGATTAGAGGAGATATTATTATTATTATTATTATTATTATTATTATTATTATTATTATTATTTACCCCCATCTTCTTATCGAACACAAAATGTAATATAAATTGAAATATTGTGATAATTCTCCAAGAATATATTATGATAAAAAAATCATAAAAATCTTAAGAATTCAATTAAGAACATAATTCCATGAAAATAAAAAAAAGGAGCTAAGAATTTAAATTATTTTAAAATAATTTTTCAATAAAAGTTAATATCTTTATATATCATCTTTCAAGATTAAATAATCATCTTTCAATATAATTCCATGAAAATCACAAATAAAGAAAAAAAAGAAAACAAAATAAAAACTCTTCTCACAAAAAACCACGAAAATTGACATTATTAACAATTTACATTTTACAACAATAAAATCACTAATTAAAACGGGAAAAAATATTATATCAGGACTCCGCACGTAGAGTTACGTGCGAAATCCAATGAAATCACGTCATATACGTGAATGTGAGAAAAAAAAATATGTCGTGTAACACATGAGAATATTCTTCCGGTGTTATTCATATGTTATTGTGTTATTATAACACCAGAAATATTCTCAGAACAAAATAACACCTAAATAACATGCAATAACACATGAATAACATGCAATAACACCTGAATAACACGGGGAATAGTCCCCTGTGCTACCGGAAATATTTCTCTATTGCGTGATTTCATTGGACTCCGCACATAATTCTACCTGCAAAATTCTGAGGTGATATTTTTTTCTTAAAATGGGCGTTCCAAACAACTAATACTAGAAGTATATATATATATATTTAGTCGGTTCAGCCAAAAAAACCGGTTTGACTCCAGACGGCATTACGAACCCGGCTCAAATCTCGTCCTTTGAGGGTCCGGCCAACCCCCTCGAAAACCGAGGTTGCCATCGCCGTCTTCCTCTGCTCACGTGCAAGGTACACGTGCGGCGGTATCCACTCCCCTTCATCCTCCACCTCCTCTTCCCCCGCATACCCGCCCCCAAGATGCGCCGACCCAAACGTTACAGCCACCGGCGGTGACGACATCACCACCGCTCCACCGCTGTCCAAAGCTCTCGACAGTCCGCCGGTGCGGCGCCATCGGTTCTTGTCACCGGAGGTAGCGGTAGCGGTGGCGGTGGGCCAAACATCCTCCTCTGCGAGGTCTGGGAGGTCGGAGGAAGAGGTGGAGGAGTGGGAGTGGTGGCGGCGGAGGAGGCGGTCGGCGGGGGCGGCGGGGGAGAGCCGCCGGACCAGCCGCCGGACCATTTTTTGTGAGAGATTAGCGCGAGCGAAGCGTGCATATCCAAGATTTATGGTTTCTGAGCGGTGTTTTTCATTTCATTTGGGTTTCATTTCGATTCTTATTTCGTTTGGAGTTTTGGGAGGGGCCATTGCGGGTATTGACCGGTCATTGTTCAATTTTTTTTTTTTTGTTTTTTTTTGTTTAGGTTTTTTTTTTTTAGCATTGTTGATTTATGTATGGTTTTGCAAGGTGGTGAGACTTTGAAATGTGAAGCTTGTTAGAGTTAAATTTTGAAAAAAATATTCATGATAAAGTTGGAGTTAAGTAGAATTTAATAAATCTTATATGTTGAATTCGAATTTGTCGTGGGCATCACAACGAGTGTAGCATTATAGAGGCAGAGAGGGAGGGAGATAGAGTGCACATTAGGTTAAAGATGCTAAAATTAATGATAAAGTTGGAGTTAAGCAGAATTTAATAAATCTTATATGTCAAATTCGAATTTGTCATGGGCATCACAACCGAGTGTAGCATTATAGAGAGAGAGAAGGAGAGAGATAGAGTGCACAAGAGGTTAAAGTGCTCAAACATATACCCTATACCCTAAAAAGTTCTTTATCATTGATTCTTTAGTCCCTTACTATAGAAATAACTACACTTTTTAACCCTAAACACTATACCCTAAAAAGTTCTTTTATGGGGGGGGGGGGGGCCACCGCTCCACCGCTGTCCAAAGCTCTCGACAGTCCGCCGGTGCGGCGCCATCGGTTCTTGTCACCGGAGGTAGCGGTAGCGGTGGCGGTGGGCCAAACATCCTCCTCTGCGAGGTCTGGGAGGTCGGAGGAAGAGGTGGAGGAGTGGGAGTGGTGGCGGCGGAGGAGGCGGTCGGCGGGGGCGGCGGGGGAGAGCCGCCGGACCACTTTTTGTGGGAGGTTAGCGCGAGCGGA